GCAGGGAGAACACTGTCTTTCAGCCCTCTGTTCTGTTTGGGTTGAGGCCTGTGCACATTAGGGAAGAAGCTGCCTTATTCCATTCATTGATTCTGCTGTTATTCTCATGCAGAATACCTTCAAAGACACACTCAGAATAATGTTTCACCAAATATCTGGGTGTCTCATTGCTCAGTCAAGTTAACGGATAAAGTTTACTCTCACAGCTGGGCATGGTGGTGCACACCTGTAATCTCAGCACTCTGGGAGGCTGAGGCAGGAGAATCATAAGTTTGAGCCCACCCTAGACAACTTAGCAAGACTCTGTCTTAAAAGAAAAAAATAGAAAAAGTGCTAGGGATATAACTAGCATGAAGGCTCTGGGTTTGATACCCAATACAAAAAAGAAGGAAATAAAAAAAATTAACGATCACAAAGTGCTTCCTCTGTATTTTTTTTTGGCATCTGACTGTCCGTTCAGCTTTTAGAAATGGTAAGAGGGAACAGGTTCAGTGTGACAGCTCCTGCCCTAAGGGAGCTAAGGAAAGGTTAGTGGGTCCCTCCAGCCTGGCTCTCCTGATGGCGCTGCCACATGGGTCACTGAGCCCGGACCAAGGAGCTGCTGCAGTGCCTCTTCCAGGGTGCTGCTGTGAGGAGAAAAGAGCCCTGGGAGACAGTGTGATTTATTTGTCCTGTGTTCCGCCTCTCGGCGGAGAGGTTCCCAGAACAGGATCGGGACAGGATCTGTGGTTGGAACCTCTGTTTCTCCTGCTTTCCCAGTCTCGGGTGTTCACTGATACTCGCTAGTGCTTCCTCTTGTCAGTAGCTTGGAGGGGAGGGGAGGTGTGCAATTGTAAAGATTCTTTTTTTTTTTTATCGGTACCAGGGATCGAACTCACGACTGCCTGCTTGCAAGGCAGGCGCTTATGCCGCTGAGCTAAATCCCCAGCCCCAGCAATTGTAAAGATTCTTTACTTCTCGTACTTTGTTTGGGTACTAGGCATTGAACCTAGCACCTTTGCACTGAGCTATGTCCCCAGCTCTTTATTTTGAGAACAAGGTCTCACTAAGTTGCTTAGTCTGAACTCTAACTTGTAATTCTCCTGCTTTAGCTTCCCAGAGTGCAGGAATTACAGTTGTGTGCCACCATGCTTGGCTATAACAGTTTTCTTTTTTTTTTTTTAATTTTCATAGCTTTCCTCATTTATTTTTATATTAATTAGTTTTTATTGGTATGTGTTTTCCATATGTAATGATCACATTCATCATAGGACATACATACTTGTACATAATATATCTTAATTATTTTTCCACACCTCTTCTCCTTCCAATCCTGCTTCCCCTCCTCATTTACATTGCTTTTCTTTCTTTTTTAATCCCTTTTCCCTTATTGCCTTCCCCTCTGCCTCTTTTGTTCCCTGTTTGAGATCACATCTGTTGATTCTTTGTAATATTTGTTGTGTGATTGGGGTTTTGTTCGTAAAGTCTGTGTCTAGACTTATGTCGTCAAGGGTTTTATCTCTTTTATCTTCCAGCAGACTTAGTGTTTCTGTTTTAATAGTTAGATGTTTGCTCTATTTTACCATTAGTTTAGTGAGTGGTGAGAGACATGGATGTAGGTTTAATCTTTGGCATATAGAAAGCCAGTTTTCCCAGCACCATTTATTAAAGAAGCTGTTTTTCTTCCAATGAATGTGTTTGGTTCCTTTGTCAAAGATAAGGTGTCTGAGTGTGTTTGGAATTGTTTTTGTGTCTTCTAATGTGTTTCACTGATCCTCCAGTCTTTTTTTTTTTTTTTTTTTTTTTTTGGTACTGGGTATTGAACTCATGACATTGTGCTTACCAGATAAGCGCTTGAGTCACTGAGCTAAATCCCCAGCCCACCGTGTTGTTTTTATCACAGTAGCTTTGTAGTATAGTTTTAAGTCAGGGATTGTCATACCCTCTGCCTTGCCTTTGTTATTCTAAGAATTGCTTTTGTTATTCTAAGTTTCTTCTGGTTCTGCCTGAGTTTTAGGTTGCTTTTTCTAGTTCTGCAAGATATGATATTGGCTTTGTGATTGTTATTTGTGTACAGAAATGCTATTGAGTTTTGAGTGTTTCCTGTTACACTATCAAATGTGGTTATTAAATCTAGTAGTCTTTTAGAGTTTTGGGGGTTTTCAGTGTAGATACAATACAGGTATGTTAAGCAGATTAGATTAATCTCTCTTGGTAGAGATTATCAAGTGTAGCAATTACAGTCTTGAATTTATTGGTCCCTGCACAGGCAGCATCAGTGTTATCTGGGAATGTGTTAGGACTGGAACATCCCGGTACCATGCACACCTGCTTGGATGGGACACCTGATGGGTAGGGTTAAGACATCTGTGTGATCAGAAGCCCTGCAGGTGGCTCTCACACCTGCTCAAGGATGAACACCACTGATCTATTTTTGCAGCTATGTTGCTTGGTGGGGATGCACAGGTCTCAAAACTGACCTAAAATCTAGAAAGGTCACAAGCCATAACCCTAGAAAACATCAAAGCTACACTTGCAACGCACAAGTGTTTTCATCACCGGGCTGGGAATAGAAGCCTTGCAAAGTTTAGTCAAGTGTGTCTGTGAAAGTTTTACAGGTCCACTTGACTGCCCTTGGGTGCCCAGAACTGTGTGTGCATGTGTGTGTGCGTGCGTGTGTACATGTGCGATGGAAGGTGGAACCTATGCATGCATGCCAGGCAAGGGCTCTACACTAGAGCTACACCCAGCTCCTCAGCATTACTCTTTTCAGGGTATGTAAGATGGCAGTCAGTGGACTGAGATGACCCTCCCCGGTGCGGCTGGACGTCCTTCAATCTCTTGAGAGCCTGAGCAGATGAAGACAGGGAAGGAGGAGGAATTTGCCCTTTTCTTGTTTCCTGCCTACCTGCTGTGCTGAGATATTTCATCTCTGATTTGGCTGTCAGATACGATTTATGTCCCTGCCTGTCTCGGATCCCTTTAGGATTACAGCCCTTGGTCTCCTGGGTCTCCAGCTTGCAGACAGCAGCTCATAGGGCTCCCAGCCTCTGTCAGAGCGAGCTCTGTCTTCCCTGTCTCCCTCCTTCGCCCATTCAGATTTGGTTTCTCTGGAAAACCTGGACAGTGTATAGAGATACACACTACACTGAATGACTTCTGGACATTTTCAAGAAACTACCAACTATATTACGTTGCGTGGTTGCCCCCATTCTCACCCAACAAAAGCGAGGACTCAGGGACTCCAATCCCAGTGGAAGCACCTCGTGAATGACATGAGTGGCCTACGTGGCTGGTAACAGAGGTGGAGAATCTACAAGGTAAAGATAGGCGTCAAGAGACAAGCTGATTCAGGTCAGAGGACACTGTTAAGGGAACAATGGAAGGAGAGGAAGTGCGCGATCAGGGCAAACATTTAAGGACGTGGGAAAAAGGTTCAGGCACCGAACTTTAAGTGTCCCAAGAATGTTTTGGTTTGTTGAATTATAATTCTTCTCTGGCCCCGCTGACTCCTTTCAGGCCCCATGGGGATACCTGCACTGTGTTATGCTCTGCTGAGATCATTTCCTATGGCTTCACAGAAGGCCTCTGAGCTTTAGATGGGGAGCTCTGTACACAACCATTTTCTAGAGAAGGCAGGTTGGGCTCCTCAGGCAGAAGGAATGTGTCTTAGTGTTCCGTGACTCAGTGGGTTGGGGCAGGGTGACTTCTGTGGAAAAGTTCTGCCAGCTGCTAGGTTTTAACCCTTTGGTTGCCATGGACATCTATGTGTTCCTTGAGAGAACCCCTTACCTTCCTTAGCCTAAGGTCTGCGACATCTGAGAATCAAATCCAGAACCTCCTGCCACAGGCTCGGTGACAGTGCAAGCTGGGCTTCCAGCCTGCAGTGTCTGTTGCTAAAGCGAGAGCATTGATTAAGAAATGGGAAGCAGATACGTGGCACCCTAACAAAGCTGGGGGACAATGAGCCCATGTCATTCTCATGTCTTCTTGACCAATGAGACAGGTTTTCCCACCCCCTGGCAGGAAAGGGCTCCCCGCCTGCCCACACCAGTCTAGACCTTTCCAGTGGAGAGCGTTCTGTGCAGGACAATGCCGTCTGCCCTGGAGGCCACCACTCTTTGCTTCTATCAGAAGAATCAAGTCCCAGCAGATCCCTAAAGGTGAGGTACACAGGTGACTCACAGGAATTCTCTAACTTAACACAGATGGAAATTTAGGGGATGGGTGGGACAATGGTGGAGCGGATAGGGTTGGATTGGGCTGAATGTATAGACACGGGTTCACACAGCAGGGAGCCTGCATTTCAGGGTGCAGTGTGGGGTGGGACAGGACCCCAGCGATTTTCTTGCTTCATTGGCTGGAACGTGAACAGGAAGATGCCCTGCTGTGGGCTGACCGGAATGCTGGATGTGCCTTGGTTTAGTGCAGAGAGAGGAACTGAGAGCTGAATAAGGTTGTGGTGTGAGGTCAGATCTGAGGGGGGAATCAATTTGGGGGACCCAGGAGTCCTTTAAGAGAACCCTAAAAAAAACTGCTCTGTGATGGCTGTTGCCTGCAGACCAGAGCTTATGGTGCCAGCTGCAGTCTTGTGAACTGTGAGTCCTGGGTGCAGTGGCAGTGACGGGACTCCCAAGGTGGCAGAGGCCAGGCACTGGTGGTGCCACTGCACAGCTCAGATGGTGGACACAGATGTGGAGCAGGGTGAGGAAGGCCTGAGTTTTCTTTAGACATCTGAGTTGAGACAACTGAGCAACAGTTTGATGGACTTGAGAATGCCACTGGACATTCTGGGGGCTCAGAGGAGAGGCTGAGGAAGGAGGCACAGATTTGAGAACCACTGGCCTAGATTTACCTGTGCTTAGTCAAATAATCAAATCAATTTTTAGGGGGCCTGAGTTTGCTGATGACAAAGAATATGAAGAAAGGGGAAGCCCAGAACTGAGCCCTGGGGATGCAGACGGTGAAGATGATGCTTCTCAGATCCAAGGTGTCTCAGAATCATCTGGAGAGGGGTTAGAGGGAGGATTCTTGGAGCCCACAATGGAGACTTGGCTTCCGGAGGTCTGGTGGGGCCTGAGACCCACAGTTCCAGTGTACAATGCTAAGGCTGCTGGTGCACCGACCCGACTTTGGGGAATGCTGGCAGGGAGACAGGGTGGTTCTGGGATGGAAGACGGGCACGCACATTTATAGTTCAAGCTACAGTCTGCCGTAGAAAGGGAGCTGTGGGACATGCTGGAGGCGAGAGGGGTAATGAACGAAAGAGATCACTGTTAGAGGGGGTCACAGGAATGGGGTGATGGAGAATCGGAGATGGAGATGGATTAAGAGGCTATGAATCCACTTTACAAAACCAAAAGCCCTTTGGAGGAGGTGATCTCTTGCTGCTTGCCCCTCTTTTGGTGGTTTGAAGCTCTCCTGAATCCTTGGGACATCCCTCACCTTCCTGGCCCTCCTGCAGTGCCGAAGGCCTCCCAGCCCTGTGCTTTCTGCTTGTGGAGCCACAAAGCTACGATGTCTCAGTGGCTGAATGAGGGCAATGTGTACATCTGTGACCCTGTGAAGTATTTCAAGGATCAAGGGGAATTTCAAACAATGTTTGATCACTATCACAGACAAACTGTGTTCCTGCCCCCTTCCTGCTTGCTAGCTTTGGCGCAGGCTGTGGGCAGCTCCCGGGGGATGTCACTCCCTGGCACAGCAATCAGAGCACTGCACAGGCGCAGCCATCGTGCCTCTGCTTCCCTGCAGCCTCCGTGCCCTCTGGCAAACAGGAAAAGCTTCAAGAACCTCTTTGCACAGCTGCAGCAAAACAGCCACCCGGAGCAGAGCTGTGAGCAACCCTAAGCCTGTGTACCATACACTCTGTGCTTTGCACAGTGAAAATCACTGAGGCTTTAGGAGAGAGTGAGAGGCCCAGGAGCCACAGCTTAAGAAAGCACCCCTGGATTCTCAGAGGGCTTGTTCCTTCCCCATTCTGGAACTAGATGACAGGGGCAGAGGAGTCAGACAGGGATTAAAAGATCAGGTTTACTGCTGCGGAAGCTGCTTGGAGAAGCGTTGTGGGCCCAAGGCCAATGTAGGTTTCTTGTGCCTTCCTCTGTGGATTGAATTTCTCAGCTCAACTCGGTTTCCCCTTAGCACAGGAGAGTGGCTAGAGACTGCATAACCTGCTAGCGCTTGCAGCGTTTGGGACAGATGTCTCCCAAAGAGAGATTCACAAGTTTAAGCCCAGCCTGGGCCACTTAGCCTATTCCCAAGATCCTGTCTCAAAAACCAGTACCTAAGTGAGTAAATAAACAAAAAAGAACTGAAGATGTAGCTCAGTGTGAAGATCTGAGTTCAATTCTTAGTACAAAAAAAAAAAAAAATCCATTTTAAAATTTTACTATTTCTCTTCCAGTAATACATTTTATACCAGTATTTTTCCAATTTAGCATCCAGCCTGGACCACACTTGGGATTTAGTTCAATTTCCCTTCCTCCCTCCTCCTTTCTCTTTCTCTGTCTCCCTTCCACCCTTCCCTTCTTTCTGTTTTTTCAGGATACTGACCCTTTTACAATGTAGCCAGTTGTGTGGTAAAAACCTTTCCTCAATTTGGGTTCGCTTGATTGTTTCCTCATGGTTAGATTGTGTCATTTTTCTTTTCTTTTGAAATAATTTAAAATTTACAGAACAGTTGCCAGAATTATGTAGCATTGTGTAACTTTCCAATACATTTGCAGTTATCCTTAACTAGAGTCACCAATTTTTTGGTCACATTTTTGGTCACAATTGTTTCACTGTTCATCCCCGCCCCTTCCTTCCTTTATCGGCCTGTGTATGGGTGAAAGAGGTTTTTGTGAAAATTCAAATGAGTTAAGAGCAGGTGTCATCTCTGAAGTGACAATTTTTGAATGTGGTCCTGGGGGATAAAGAAGCTTGCCAGTTGGACAGAACTTGGATGTGGGAAAGTGCATTGCAACCAGAGGGTCAGCAGGCACAGGATTTAGCTAGTGTGGATTCGGGGTGGCTGGGGAATGGCCCATGTGACCCATGTTTTGGAATAACTAGGCTGGAGAAGAAGGGACCAGAAAAGCATTTGGAACTTTACACTGTGTTAAGGAATTGGGGTTTGTTCTACTGGAAAAAAGAAAATGGTGAAGATTTTTATGCCACAGATTGATGATACCAGACTTTTTTTTCTTGTTTGCCCTAAAAAATGAGCTGTAGAACAATTTGGAGGACAAAGGGAAGCCAAACCAGTGAAGTGAATGGACATCGTCTTGCCCCAGGTAATGGTGAAAACCCAGAAGGAAGGAGATGCAGAGAAATGCTTCTTGAATGCGAGCCATTCTCATGTTGTGTCTCATTTAATTATTGCCAAAAGCCTGAGGCCACAGAGATTAAATAACTTGGCCAAGAACAGTCCTGGTAAATGATGACAGTCCAGACATGCTAGTGCATGGCCTATAATCCCAACACTCTGGGAGGCTGAGGCAGGAGGACCTCCAGTTCAAGGCCAGCCTAAACCTCATAGCGAGACCTAAAATAAAGGCAAGAAAATGGGTGTATCAGTTCTGTGGAACCCTTGTTCCAAAAGGAGGCCTCAAAAGACCTGGGCTAACAATTTCTATGCCTTTTCCAGAATGATCTCTACAACACTTCCAACAAGGACTCAAATCTAAATCTTTCTGGATTCAAAGCCCACATTGCAAGATGGGGCAGCTGGGCCATGAGTCTCTCACCAGAGGCAGGAAAATCCCTGGAGTGAGGCGAGTGCCAGCTCTACAGTAAAGGTACCGGAAAGACAGTAAGTAATGGGGCAACATCTAAAGGAAGGATATTAAATCACACTTTAAAAATGGAGCACCTGGGTTTAGAAAGGAAGTAAGGACGTCCATTTGTCAAAGGCTAGAACAGATGAAAGGAGAATCCCACACTAAGTAACCAGATGTCACCTAAGGTAACAACATTCTGGTGAAGGTTTCAGTACCTTGGCTTAGAGTCCCTTTCTGTGTCCCCTGGGAAGTTCAATCCAAGATTCTTTGAATTCCTTGACACTCATTTTCTTAGGATTCCTTAGGACTCCTTAGGATTTCTTAGGATTCTTAGGATTCCTCATTTCTTAGGATTCCTTAGGATTCCTTAGGATACCTTTAAATTCTTCATCTCACTTCTAATTCAGCCCGCTTCGGGTTCCTAGTCCTTGGTCCCAGGCTGGCCCTGTGGAGAACACACACCCACCACCTCTTTTTCTTGCCTTGATTGCTCCCTGGTTCACTCACACAAAGTGTTGGCACTTTGGGTTGGAGGATTTATGTCCTTAGCGACACGAATAAAGTCCGATCATAGATATCACAGTGCCCAAGATACAAGCTTCCCCCCGTGACTTGAGCCCCATCTTTGCTCCTTATTCCAGGCTCTACACTTCTGGACTTTTTAAAATGTAGATCTGTTTAGGCATCTTTTTTTCCTAACTTTGTGCTAATCCATGTTCTCCTCTTGTTCTCTTCTTTCGTACTTAAGAGTGTCACAACAAGGCAGCTCCCTAACTAATGTTTCATATCCCTAGGAGGTACTCTGCCCTCTGCTAAAATAATGTGTATAGTTTTACCTCAGTACCTCGGATCGGCTTATGGTTAGAAAGAAAGTATTTTTTCAAACTTTAATTTTATGGGTACATTTTAGATAGACGTAATGATCACATTCGTCATAGGGAGTTTGAACCTGTACGTGATATGTCTGGATTCATTTTTTCCCCATTCCCTCACACACCTTTCTCTCTTTACTTATAAAAGCTTTGTTTCCATTCTTCCATTTTTTTCCTTGTCCTTCTTTTCCTTTCTCTCTTCCCCCTCCCTGCTCCCCTTACTTGAACATTTTCTTTCTTTCTTTTTTTTTTTTTGTCTTTTTCCTTTTTTATCGGTACCAGGGATCAAACTCACGACTGCCTGCTTGCAAGGCAGGCGCTTATGCCGTTGAGCTAAATCCCCAGCCCCACTTGAACATTTTCTTATTTCCCAATATCCATTATATATTTTGGTCCTTATTTACACTTTCGGTTCCTCCCACCAGAGAAACCATGCAACATTTGAACATGTGTGTCTGATTTCACTTGGGTGTGGCCTCAAGGTGCATGCATTTATGTCTCAAGCTAGAAAAGTCAAAAGCAAGTATTTAAAAGAGATCATGGCTGTTGTCTTCTGTTTTCTCAGTGACGTATGAGATGCACTCCGCTACTGAGCCAAGCGTGGCACTAGTAAAGATTTGGACAGCTGGGGTTAGAGATTCTGTCAACAGAAATTTACTAGATTTCTAAGTTTTCATAAAATACCATATTTACATAGAGTGATTCTTTCGTGAAGCCTGTGTACCTGTGGCATTGATTCTGCTGCTAGAGATGGAGCACTCAGTTTGCCAAGTACTTTGGTCAATATGCGAAAAATAGAAAAGCAGAGGAGGAGGAAAAAGTCAAAGTAAACCAAAGTTGTAGTAATGGGGATCAGGGTCCACCGGTCCTTTCTCCCTGCTAGCAAAGCCTCAATCTGTGCCAGGGGGCTCCAACAGTGCACTCTTGGGGGCACAAGGGATACCCACTTGTGTGGAAATAGGATATGGGAGCTGTATTAATGATGCATTGCTCCATAACAAATTGTCTCCATGTTGGTGGTTTAAAATACAGACATTTGAGGTGGGTGTGGTGGTGCATGCCTGGAATGCCGGTACTAAGGAGGCTGAGGCAGGAGGATCCCTGAGAGTTCCAGACCAAACCTGCATTACAAAGTGAGCTCAAGGCCAGCCTGAACTGCATAGCATGATCTTGTCTTAAAAAGACAAATGCAAACAAGCAAACAACAAAAAACTAGACATTTATCATCCCATAGTCTCTGTAGGGCAGGAGGTGCCCCTCTTGTGGCTCCCTGTTGGGCCCTGTTGGGTGGACTGGGACGACTTGCCTCTTTCCTCAGTGTCTTCCTGTCACCCCTGATGTGGCTTCAAGGTTGCTCCCTGGGCCATTTTGAAAAAAGGTGGAGGTTGGCTTTCAGTCCTGGCATCCCTCCCCACTCCTGCCTCAGTAGATGTTGAAGTGATGAAGACACTGTCCCTAACCTGGCAGAGATCCAAGAGAGTTTCAGGCCTGTTATTAACAACCCCAGCCTTCCCATCCTCCATAAACTATGATTGTCATAGCTAGCTACCGGAAGATTCCCAGGTTTCAGCCCACCATGTTCACAGAGACATGATAGCTGTCAATCAAATACCTGCATGGACCATCAGTCTGAGGAATTGTTGCTATGACAACTGCAGCTATCCCAAATGGCCTGTACCTGCTCTGGAGGATGCTGCCCTAACCACATCAGGCTCAGAAGTAAACTGAATCATAGAATTGTATTTACAGAAGTCAGTGGGCTTGAATTGGGAAGTGTGAGTTACACCAGTTTGGACCAATCAGCAGACCCAAATTCAGATCAACCACAGGCCTCAGTGGTGACATAAGAAGCACTCTCCTCATATTCCTTGGATTGGTCTAGGAGGGCTCCTAAGGCTGCGCTGACCTCCCTGTGCAAATAAAGCCTCATTCCTCTGGGCCTGCACATTAGCTCTTGTTGACACCACCGAAGTGAATACATGTGCAGGACTGTGGCGTGGCCTGGGCATGGCTGAACTGAGAACAAGAAGACATCTCAAGGGGCAAGATAAGCCACAGCTGAGGCCACCTGGATAGTTTCCCTTAATTAACATCGTCTGTTGCTCTGAGGGGTCCTTGAACCTCTCCCAAGATCCTGCTCAGGTTTCCCGCATTTTCCACTCAACTCCTTGCTTGTTCTGATTAAGTACGGGTCTCCTGGGGTCATCTGGGGCTGGCCAGCTAGCAGAGTTACAAGCTCTGCTGAGGATTTTAGTCTCCCTGGAGCCCTAAAGATCATGTCACTTGTCTCACTCCTTTGGGCCTTCACCATGCACTTGTTTGGGGGGTTGGGGATCTAGGCACAGATTTATTTCTTGTGTAGTGTGGACTCCATAGGCCCTGTACATCTGCTTGGGAATCTTAGCCTGGCTAGTGGCTAGATAGCCTGGATAGAGTGTAGACTAAAAACAACAACAATAAATACTAGGAGCCTTTAGCCCTGCAGAGATCCAGAAATTAGTGCCAACAAAGATCAGCAACAGAGACCAGCACTTGGTAGTCAAACAGTGTGTCTGGCTTAACTGGTGTCAGGGCCACTAGCAGAGCTACACTTTGCCAATTCATTATTTCTGTCTGAATTGAGCGAAAGAGCACTTACTTGATTAGTGACAGTTTATCAGTCACGCTGGCTTGGGATCTTTCATGAGGCTGCAGTCATCTGCAGGCTTGCAGGGGCCGGGGGATTTGCTTCTGATCTCACAGGTGTGCCCTTCACAGGAAGCCTCAGTTCCTCATCATGGGGTCTCCCCACAGTGCTTTCGTGATATGGTAATTGGCTATGCCAGAGCAAGCAGGATGGAGCTGAAGTGCTCTATGTCGCTTTACCTTGGGAGTTGATATTGTCACTTTCAGTGTGTTTTGTTGGGCACAGTGTGTCAGAGACAACAGAAGGCTTTGCACACCAGGATGCAGAGACAGTGGGGGCTGCTACAGAGGCTGCCTACCACAGGATTGTTTCCAGTGACTTTTTGGGGGGCAGGAGTAGGTGCTATATGCCTTAGAATGCCACAGAGTAATATAGGTGGTGTGTTAGTTTGCTTTCAGTTTCTGTAACAAATACCTGACCCAAACGACTTAAAGAAGGAAAAGTTTAACTTGGCTCACGGCTTCCGAGGCTTCAGTCTATGGTGCCTGGCTCCATTGCTTTTAGGCGTGTGGTGAAGTAAAAGAGTGTGGCAGAGGAAAGCTACTCACTTCATAGTGACCAGGAGAGAAAGAGCAAAAGACAAGCAGCAAGGGAAGGGGATCAGATAAAGGTCACACCTCACTATTCACTGCCTTCAACTGGACCCCACCTTCTGTTTCCTTTACCTCTTAATAATGCCATTAAATTATTATCTTACCGGTGGACTCATTGACTGATTGAAGTTTGAGCCTTAATGATCCCATCACTTTCTAGACGCTCAGCCTTTAAATACATGAACCCTTTGGGGACATTTTCGATGTAAATCATAACATTTTGACAGATTAGCAATTATCCTACTCTTAGATTTAATGGACCAGTAAAAAATTTACCAGAGCAAGGGAATCAATGTAAGTATGTTTCAGTATTGTGTCAGGCAAGAAAGAGAAAAGGACATTGTTTCAGAATAAAAGGTATTTTTTGCCAGGTGTGGCCCACACTTATCCCAGCGCTCTGGCGACTGAGGGGAGAGGATTGTAAATTCAAGCCCAGCCTGAGCAATTTAGTGACTTCTCAAGACCCTGTCTCAAAAACAGAAAAAGGTGAAGGACTATAGCTTAGGGCAAGGACCTCAATATTACCCCCAGGACTGACAAAAACAAACAAACAAACAAACAGGAATGGGGATGTAGCTCAGCGATAGAATGCTTGCTTAGCACATGTGAAGTCCTGGGTTCAATCTCCAGTAAAAAAAAGACCAAAAACCAACTCATTAGCTGGTCTTTGTTTTTCTCAGGTAATAGTGGGCTGATGGGAACTTAATCCTGTCTTGGGCCACAAACTGTTACGCAGAACCACTCAGCTAAAGAAAACAAAACAACAAAAACAAAGCAAAGCAAAGCATCTCCTCAGCTAGACCCTGGGATGTGCTAGTACCTTTCAAAATGACTGAGAATCATTGTAGTCTGTTCCAAGTACATGAAGGAAATGAAGTGTT